GATCGCACAGAATGGCCGGCGGGGGTGGGGGTGGGGGGCTCCTCTGGTGCATTAGGGTTTCGATAAAGTCAGAACTGGATTTTCCACAGCCAGAGGCATCAGCTTCGAAGCTGCTAGCTCCATAGGGTGGCACTTCCGTGGCTACCCAGGACCCCCCCGAGGACCACAAAGTTCCTTGCCGGAACCTGAAAGTGGCTTTGGCCAGGGGCACCTCGCTGATCCCTCCCTGTGTGCTCAGGGCCCATGAGCAGGCAGCCCCAGGATCCTGGTTTGCGGACATGGCCTAATGTTTACACCCGGGGCAGGCAGATATCTTCTCACCTGGGGCTTTGTGTAGGTCAACACAGAGCGGTTTGAGATGGAGTCCCGGGGGATTAACCACGTGGAGGGGGGCTGGCCCAAGGATGTGAACCCCCTGGAGCTGGAGCAGACGATCCGGTTCCGAAAGAAGGTGGAGAAGGACGAGAACTACATCAACGCCATCACGCAGCTTGGCTCGGTAAGGCTTCCATCACTGTGGTGCCCCACCTGCCTGGCCCCGGGCTCCGCTCCTGCCAATACGCGGACAAACATTGCTAGGTACCTTAAGGAACCTTCTGTCTGGGAGCAGGCAGACCAGTCCACAACAACAGACCAAAGGGGAAGATGGGAAGGTACCAGGGCTGAACAGGCTTGAGGAGGAGTCTGACAGGTGCTCCCCTTGAGCAAGAAGGACTCCAAAGAACCCCGGCAGGGATCATTCATTCATTCGGCACATTTGGACTGAGCCTGTAGTCTCTGCCAGGCACAGGAGAGATGGCAAAAAATAAAATTCACATGCACCCTGCCCCAAAGAGTTTATCATAATCCATTGGAGGTCAGAGACAAATACAGAGATATCACCGTGTAATGTAGAAAGACATGCTATGAGGGATGACTCTTGCCATTTTGCTCCGTAAAGAGGGAGATTCAGTTTCCCACTGAAGGGATCAGGGAAGGCTTCCTGGAAGAGGAGACACCTGAGCTTGAGGTTTTCCCTTGGTGGACATTTGGAAAAATGGAGAGGGCCTTCTGGGTGGCGGAAGCAGAAGATTGGTGCTATATATGGAGCGATTACCAGTTCTGTGCGACTGGAGGCATGTTTCTTCACCTTTTTTTCATTGTTGTCCCCCAACGAGTCTTTTCATGTTTTTCCTAATTGCCTCCACCATGAAATTTTAATACCATTGGCATATTTCTTTATGTATGTACTATATGTATATCTGTGCTTTATGCACGAAAAGTAATATTTCACCCTCCAAGACCAATTTTCCCTTGGAAGCAATGCCGCCCCCACTGAAAATGCAACGGGCTGGAAGGTTGGGAAAGACCATTAGATATTTCTTGCCATCTCAGCCTGGTCAGGCTGCAGGTCCCTCTCTTTCCTGCTAAGAACTCCTGATGTTTTCTCCTCAGATCATGGAGCACTGCATCAAGCAGAATAATGCCATTGACATCTACCAGGAGTATTTTGATGACGAGGATGCGGTGGAGGTGACAGATGAGGCCCCTTCAGCTAAAACCATCAATGTTTTAAGGTACCTCCCTAGCTAGGCAGGTGTCGGGACGCTCTCTGCCACCCCTATGGCTGTGTGCTTCCCAAGGTCACTCTTTGCCGATCACTCCATGCCGTGGGTGCAATGCCCTCTGTGCTCTGACCTTTGTAGGGAGCAGAGCAACAGAGTACCCAGCAACCAACTGGTCCCCACCCTGGGGGCGGGTCTGGTTGATGGAAAGAGAGGACAGAGTCCAGGGAAAGACTAAGCGAATTTGCAAAGCCGTGTGCAAGCCGGGTTGAGTCACGCAGGGCACAATGAGTCCAAAGTATGGACCATCAGTGACCCAGCAGCACTGTGGGCACACAGGACCCTCATCCCACACTCGTGGGAGTGTACCTGGTGATGACCTCCAAGGACAGAAGCTTGACAACAGGACTTGATCCCACAGATACATGTGTGTGAAGTCACCGTGTGTGTGGACGCTCACTGCAGCAGAAGGCACTCTAGCCAGAGGCTGGAACCAAGCTAAGCCCATCAGTAGGGGAGTGCTTGTAGCAATTCTGGCACGCCTACCCGGGGGATAGCACGCACGTGTCAGGATGAAGGAGGCAGCATGCTGGGGAGTGTTTCCAAGATTTACTTTGTGAAGCAAAACAAGCAAGGTGCAGAACAGCATGTAGCGTAGCACTATTTTTTTTTTTTGTTTAAAATACGTTTATGTACCTGTGATTTTGGAAGGGACTAGTCTCAGATGCCAACTCTGGGGGGATTCCTTTTGCTACCATGGCTCACTGAGGGTCCTGGGAAGTACTTGACCCAGTCCCAGCACAACTAGGAAGGACTGTTTTGGGATCCAGGGCTGAGTTGTGGTGTGCAGAGTAGGAGCAAGCACTTCTGGGAGAGGGGCCAGGGGGGAGGGGCGAGGGCTGTCCTCCCTGCTGCCCCAGCCCTACTGGGGTCTGACCTCACATATGGATACCTTAGCAGGATGATGGATTAGAAATCATCTCACAGGGGTGCCTGGGTGGCTCGGTCGGTTAAGCGTCCGACTCTTGATTTCAGCTCAGGTCATGATCTCATGGTGGTGAGATCTGGCCCAACGTTGGGCTCTGTGCTGAGCCTGGAGCCTGCTTGGGATTTTCTCTCCCCCTCTCTCTGCCCCTCCCCTGCGTGTGTGCATGCTCTCTCTCAAAATAAATAAACACTTAAAAAAGAAAAAAGAGGGGCGCCTGGGTGGCGCAGTCGGTTAAGCGTCCGACTTCAGCCAGGTCACGATCTCGCGGTCCGGGAGTTCGAGCCCCGCGTCGGGCTCTGGGCTGATGGCTCAGAGCCTGGAGCCTGTTTCCGATTCTGTGTCTCCCTCTCTCTCTGCCCCTCCCCCGTTCATGCTCTGTCTCTCTCTGTCCCAAAAATAAAAAATAAACGTTGAAAAAAAAAAATTTAAAAAAAAAAAAAAAAGAAAAAAGAAATTATCCCATTCAACCTGTATGTTTGACAGATGAGGGGACTGACTTTCAGGGAAGGGCGGGTGCCCAGGGCACACGGGAGGGGGAAGGGGTGACCCAACCAGGGACGGAACTAAGGTCTCCTGGATCCCAGCCTTCTAACCGTGCTCCTGGGGAGGAGTGAAGTGGAGAAATCACAGGGCAAGAAGGTTATCTTGCTTTCCACTTTCCTTCATCCCTTCTGATTACTTCGTGGGCAAAGTCTCAGTTTGGGCCATTAAGTGCTTAATTCTTTTTTACTTCTTGCTCATTCTCCTTCTTCCCCTCTTTTTTTGAAGTAAGAGTTGATGTTTCAGAGCAGTTTTAGGCCCACAGCGAAACTGATCAAAAAGTACAAAGAGTTCCCACACGCCCCCTCTGCCCTGAGCCTACACAGCCTTCCTGACCATCAACACCCTGCCCCAGGGTGGGGCCTTTGTCACCATCAGTAACCAGCATTCTGGTACTGTCTTAGTACCATAACTTGGGTAGTTTATAATCAACAGAAGCTTACTGCTCACAGTTCTGGAGGCTGGAAGTCCCAGATCAAGGTGGTTGGGTTCTGTGTCTGGTGAAGACCAACTTCCTGGTTTATAGGCGGCCATTTTTTCACTGCCGGAAGTCACATGGCAGAAGGGGTGAGAGGGCTCTCTGGAGCCCCTTTATCGAGGACTAATCACTTCCCACAGCTACCCCCCTAACACCATCACATTGGACATTAGGTTTCAACATATGAATCTGGGGGACACAACAGTCAACCTGTGGCACCCCAAAGTCCATTGTTTCCATTAGGGCTCACTCTTTGTGTTGCATACTCTGTGGTGTGTTTTTTTAATTTTTTTTCAATATTTGTTTATTTTTGAGACAGAGAGAGAAACAGAGCACAGCCGGGGAGGGACAGAGAGAGAGGGAGACATAGAATCTGAAGCAGGCTCCGTGCTGTCAACCCAGAGCCAACGCGGGGCTCAAACCCACGAACCGTGAGATCATGACCTGAGCCAAAGTCGAACGCTTAACCAACTGAGCCACTCAGGCACTCCACTCAGTGGGTTTTGCATCACATAGAATAGTTTCACTGCCCTAAAATCCCACGTTCCTTTTAGTCATCCCTCCCTACCCCCAAGCCCTTGGCTAACGCTTGATCTTTTTACTGTCTCCATGGTTTTGCCTTTTCCAGAATGTCACATAGTTGGAATCATACAGTATGTAGCCTTTTACCGACTGGTCGCCTTCACTTAGTGACGTGCATTATGTTTCCACTGTGTCTTTTTATGGCTTGATAGCTCGTTTCTTTTTAATGCTGAATAATATTCCCCTGTCTGGATGGACCACAGCTTATCTATCCATCCCCCTCCTGAAAGATGTCTTGGTTGGTTCCAAGTCTGGGCAGCTATGAACAAAGCTGCTGGAAACATTCACCTGCAATGTTTTGTTAGACAAAAGTTTTCAACTCTTTTGGGCAAATACCAAGGAGGAGGATTGCTGGATTCTCCTCTTCCCCTTTCGTTGTAATAGCGATGGGAAATCAGGCCTCAGGCTCAAAACTTTCAGCAAGTGGAAATATCGGACTGGAATTTGATATTTTGTTCCCACTGGTTTAGTTTTTATTATTACCTTCTATTTATGGCTAGTGAGATCCGGGTTTGGATTAAGGGCTCTTCTAAACTTTGTTCTTAAAAATAAATTTCTCCGAGTGAATGTGATTGCTTAAATACGTTTGAATTTTTTAGACATATAACTGAGTAAATAAGAGGTGTGGGGAGCCTTCCATGCCAGTGTTCTGCCCTCTCCTGTAAAGGGATCCCCAGGAAATCAAGCGGTCAGCCACGCACCTCTCCTGGCACCCTGATGGCAACAGAAAGTTGGCAGTGGCATATTCTTGCTTGAATTTTCAACGTGCGCCCGAGGGCATGAGCCATGAATCGTACATCTGGGACCTGGGTGAGAAGTGGAAGGGTCCGGGGGTCCAGGAAAACTGAGGGGGCAGGGCAGAGGCCAGCAAAGCATAAGAGTGGAAGGTAGAAGCCACAGGCAGGGGACTCTCACAGGGCCGGTCCCTTCTAGGGAGGGACCAGGGACCCCAGGAAGCTGCCCATCCCTTCCTTGTCTGGGTTCAGGAGCAGCCAAACCAGAGCCATATCAGAAGCAGGAAACGCCCTTCATTTCCAGATCCTTGATCAGGGCATTCAAGACCAAACCCCATGGAATCCCAATCCCAGACTCCACAGACTCAGATAGAGTCCCCAGCGGACTGAGAAGGGGACTCACCTCTGTCCCACTTTCCTGGCATTGGTCCTTAATTCATGGCCAGTAGGGGCAATGCGTCCACTTGGGAGCAGGGACCGTTGTTGACAGAAGCACTCACTCTAAGGGCACGAGCCTTGTCAGGTGGCCAGCGATGGTGGACGATACGCTGTAGGACATCCCGTCACTGTGGCCATTGTGAAAATAAACGTTAGCCGTTATTAGTAGGTGTGAGTGCCAAGCTCAGAACTGAGCACATTATGCTTTTGAACAGCTCTAGGGAGCAAGGGGGGGGTGGACTCCTTCATTAGCCCCACTATACAGACAAAGAAACTGGTTTGGAGAAGTCAGGGAGAGTTGGATTTATGGAAAAACCTTGGGGTCAAAACCCGGTTTCCTACCGAATCTCCAAAACGGGTGCACGTGCACACGCACACACACACGCTGCTGATTACCAAAAATAAAACCACTAAAAGAGCCCCTAGGGCCAAGAGTGCCAGATTCTGGCCCCCAGGACCTAGAGGTTGCAGCCTGGGGAAAGACAGGAGGGACTTCCAAGCATCCCCCTACCATCACCCATCTCAGGAAGGGTTAAACTGTTTGACCCCGTTCTTTTCTTTCCAGACTTGGCGGGATCAATTTGTTTGTTTGTTTCATAGAAAATCCCAACAAGCCTGAAATCGTCCTGAAGCCATCGTCACCTCTTGTCACCTTGGAGTACAACCCCAAAGATTCCCACGTGCTTCTGGGAGGCTGCTACAACGGGCAGCTGGGTAAGGAGGGACCCAGGTGCTTAACCGGGAGCAAGCCCAGCCCCCCGCTGCTGTCTGCCAGGGCCCAAGTACCTGGCCGGGCTTCCCAGGGAGCACAGAGTGAGGTGGGGACTTCCCACAGAGGATGAACTCCAGACATCCGGGTAGTCAGGCTTTGCTGATAGCTCAGCAGTGTCTCCAATTGTAACAGTTCAAGTAAGTCTAAGACCAGTTCAGAATAACAAGTTTTAAGAAAACTACAGGTCAAGGGACGCCTGGGTGGCTCAGTCGGTTAAGGGTCCGACTTCAGCTCAGGTCATGATCTCGCAGTTTGTGATTTCAAGCCCCGCATCAGGCTCTGTGCTGACAGTTCGGAGCCTGGAGCCTGCTTCCGATTCTGTGTCTCCCTCTCTCTCTGCCCCTCCCCCACTCATGCTCTGTCTTTGTCTCTCTCAAAAATAAACATTAAAAAAATTAAAAAAAAAATAAAGAGATCCTGATGTAATAAGAAAAGAATTAAAAAAAAAACACAATGATTTAAAGTCTTTGTCTAGTAAGTCCAACAGCTGGGCTCCCTTGGGGACAGTCTCTATTTATTGCCTTTTTTCCTGTGTATAGGCCACACTTTCTCATTTCGTTATATATCTTGTAACTTTTTTGTTGAAAATTTCTCTCTTTACACAATATAAAGTGACAGTTTTGGAAATCAGGTACTTGTACCACTGTAGGCTTTGTGTTCGTTGCTATTTGCCGCTGTTTGTTTCTTCAGTGAATTGTCTGATCTAATTCTGTGAAGTCTGCACTCTATCATGCGTGCCCGCCATGCTCTCTGCTTGGTTAGCTTAGTGGCGGGACAGAGATTTCCTCAAGCACCTGCAGGCAACCAGTGTTTGCCGAGAGCCTCTGTGTGCTTGTTTGAGCATGGCTGCGACACTCCGTGGGGCAGCTGCCGGCCCCACCTGCGCCTCTGCACAAAGCCTCAGGGTCAGCAGAGGCGACAGCTTAGGGCCTCCTCAGTTCTTTCCTGAGAGAGTGCACAGCTCTGGGCATGCACACAGCCCTACCCGGGCATGTGGCCTTCCAGATCTCCAGGCAAATGGTGGAGCTTTTCAAAGCCCCAGGGGACATCCCAATGGACACCTTGTTCTCCAAGCCTGTCCTTTTTTTTTTTTTTTTAGTTTACTTATTTGTTTTGAAAGAGAGAGAGTGAGTACAGGGGAGGGGCAGAGAGAGAGGGAGAATCCCAAGCAGGCTCCACATTGCCAGTACGGAGCTTGACACAGGGCTCAAACCCACGAACCGTGAGATAATGACCTGAGCTGAAGCTAAGAGTCAGACGCTCAACCAACCAGCCACCCAGGTGCCCCTCCGGGCTTGCCTTTTAAGCCTTTTGGATAGTTTGCTATTACCTACCACTTCAGGAAACTGCAAAGTTAATCAATTGCCTATAATTATTATTTTCAACAGTTGCCTCTTTTTTTCCCACGGAGCAAGCTCTAAGTCAGGTTAAATACAGATAACTTGCAGGGGGTGGGGAGGGACATGGTCATCCAGGGATCCACTGGACAGTTCATATAGTCACCGTTCTTTGGTTGGAAGACTGTGAATGAACTTCAGCCGGATTACCCCTCCTGCTGCTGTGAGGCAGCCGGTTTTCACCGGGAAGGCAGAATGTTATTTTTCAAAGCTACCGTGGGACTCAGAGAGTGTGGGGTCTTAACTAGGGCAAGTTAAAAACATCACAAAACTCAGTGTCCTTACCGACGTTCAGCTGGTTCTCCTGAACAAGCATTCTCTGGATGACTGCAAGCCTTTGACTAAGTTGTCTTGAAAAAGTTGACTCACTTTGTTGCCCGTTTTCTCATTGCTTTTATGGAGAAGATTTTCAGAGGTCCTTGCTCGGCTGATTTTGCTGATGGAACACCTAGAAAACTGGGATTTGGATCCCTAGGGAGCTTGGAAGGAAACTGCCCCCATGGGCCCTGTCTGCCTGCCTGCCTGCCACATTGGCCCCCAAGCAGTGGACGCTCAGCCTAACTGCATCCCAGGCCTGACTTGACCTTGGGCATGAAAAGAGCCCCCTCCCATCTTACCCTCACATGTTTTTTATTTACCCTTATTCCTCCCAGAGTAGGAGCTGGATGGCTGGGAAACTTCTTAGATACTCTTCTGAAGCCTCTGACCCCCCTCTCAGACCTGCCACCTCCTCCCACACATCTCCCTGCCAAATTACCTGGGTGCCAGGGCTCTAGAAGACTGGAGCTGAGCCACTGTGCCATGATTTATTCAGGAGGCTTGCCTCGCTCATTATTCATAACCCCTTTCAGGGTTCTTTGTGCCAGTTCAGAGCAGCCGGGGCTCCGGGGCTGTGCCACCTTTGAGAGAGGCTGCCAGGGGGCCCACCCCCGAGTGCTGCTCTGTCCCTAGCCGAGCAAACTTGGCCAAGAAAGCTCATCTCTGGGCCAGTCCTGTCCAGGGGCAAAGGTCTCGGACTTGGAGTCCGTAAATCAAAACTTATGGATTGAGTTATTTTGTTGCTCTCTTTCAAAACTAGCTTCTCCAGGGCGCCTGGGTGGCTCAGTTGGTTAAGCATCCAACTCTTGATTTTGGCTCAGGTCATGATCTCACAGTTGTTTGAGCCCTGCATCGGGCTCTGCACTGACAGTGCAGAGCTTGGGATTCTTTCTCCCCATCTCTGTCTGCTCCTCCCCTGCTCTCTCTCTCTCTCTCCCCACCCCCAAATAAAAAATCTGTCAGGACAAAAATGAGAGAAGCTTCAAGGCTTTCTTGGTAAAGCAGAAGAGGTGAAGTCCTTGTAACGGATCTGAATAAAGGGTCTGTGATCTGCATTTCCATCCAGGGCAGCCAAAGTGCAGAGGGTAAAAGGGAGTTTATGTAGCAGAAGAGATTTGCTGCAGTGTTTTTACCTTTTACTTTTTACTTTCAGGAACCTTTCTTTGGGGGTGGAGACACTCTTCTCTCTGGCCGCCCCCCCCCCCCCAACTGCCATCCCAGGCTCCTCCTCAGTCTGTGATCCTTCTCACTCCTTCCAAGAAGCTCTCCCTGACCACCCCCATGTGTTCCCCACCAGGAAAATCACAGCAGGTCCCCCTTCCTGCCTCTCAGGGACAGGGATGGTCTTATTTCCAGTGGCTTCCCGAGGTAGTGTGGTGCTCAACACATGGTAGGAACTCAATGGAATGAGTGAAGCTTGCACTCTGGGAGTCTTTCCATAGAGATTGTGTGGGAACTTCAGGGGTTGGGAGGAAACTCAGGCAGGTTAAGACCGAGCCCTGCTTCTGAAAAAAAAAGAAAACAAAAAAAACTACATACCTGCCAAACCAAGAGAAGCAGCATCCCTCCATCCCCTGCTTCCTGCGCGGAGGAAGAAGCCTGGGCTTCCGTTCACCTTGCCCTCACTCTCCTCCCTGCCAGCCTGTTGGGACACCCGGAAGGGCAGCCTGGTGGCGGAGCTGTCCACTATTGAGTTCAGCCATCGAGACCCCGTGTACGGCAGCATCTGGCTACAGTCGAAGACGGGCACTGAGTGCTTCTCAGCATCCACGGACGGGCAGGTAGCCAGCCGGCCACAGTGTGGGGAGCAGTGATACTTCCCCAGTTCCCCTCCAGAAGCCCCTTGGGGATCGTTTTCTTTTGCATTTTATTTTTAAATTGAAGAGTAGGTAATACATGCACATGGAACAAAGTCCAGAAGGCAAAAAGGGCAGACGGGGAAACACCTTCCTCCCACCTCTGCCCACAAACCTCCCGGCCCCCCTCCCTGTAGGCACCCACCTTCATCTGTTTCTCATGGCCGCCTTCAGGGACCGCCGCTGGAGACAGGAGCAAATACATCTGTCTTCCTCACTCTTTCTGCACACCACGTGCATTGGTCTGCATTTGACGTTTTTCATTTAGTGTATCTTGAAGATGATGTCATATTTCACAGAGCACTGCCTCGTGCCTGTTAGGAACTGCATTAGGTATGCCAAAATTTATTTCAGTGGATTTTAATGTCATGATTGTGTAGCAGAGTGTGTTTGTATCTAAGTTTTTGCACACATGTGAAGATACATTCCCAATGTACAGTGGGACTTCTTGATCAAAGCATATGGGCATTTATAATGTTTCTATATATTACCATATTGTGGGAGGCTTTTAAGAATTCAGATTCCAGGGGGCACCTGGGTGGCTGTCTATTAAGCATCTGACTCTTAATTTCGGCTCAGGTCACGATCTCACGGTTCATGGGGTCGAGCCCCTGCATCTGACTCCACTATGACAATGTGGAACCTGCTTGAGATTCTCTCTCTCCCTCTCTCTGTGCCCCTCCCCCACTCCCCCACTCTCTCCCTCTTTCAAAGTAAGTAAATTAAAAAAAAAAAAAAAAGATTTCAGATTCCAGAGCCCACGTCAGGCAATTTTGAGGCAGTAGGTCTGGGGTGAGGCCCCAGCATCTGGATTTTATGAAGCTTGCCCATGACCCTGATGAATGGCCAGGTTTGGGACTGTGGGGCCAGAGCAGTGGTTCTCCAAGTGTGTTTGTCCTACGGATCGCTGGTCATCTCTAACACACACCCCTTTGGCCCCAGTGATTGTCCCCAAGAAGGTAGGGAAGGCAAAAGCTAGGAGAATCAAGGGACTTCCGGTCTCAAAGTTGCCCCGCCCTCCCATTAGGTCATGTGGTGGGATATCCGAAAGATGAGCGAGCCCACCGAGGTGGTGATCCTGGACATTGCCAGAAAGGAGCAGTTGGAGAATGCCTTGGGGGCTATCTCCCTGGAGTTCGAGTCTACTTTGGTGAGTGTTCCCGGCTCTCCCTTCCCCGACTTCCAATGCTGGGGCAGCCAGAGCCGGGTGGAGCCAGCGTCAACCACGTGCACCCAACAGCGGCATGGAGCGCCCTCCCTCCTGTGGTCGTCAGGCTTGTGTGTGGTCTTTCCAGGAACTTTCCAGCAGGGGGCAGCAGAGCTTCTCGAGGAAGGAAGCCAGTCCTCATTCACACAAAGTAACTGCTTGGGTAGCAGCTGTGCTGAACAGAAGGCAAGCTTTCTCAGAGGACAGGATTCCAGAAGGGCCCCATTCTGTAGGAAGAGCCCCGCCCAGAACCAACATGGAGAGCCCAGGCCCTGCCCCTGCCTAGTGTGGGTCGCTTCACAGTCTGAAGGGAAGGAAGAGGTGTTGGAGAGGGAAATGAGGTCAGAGGAGGCTCCTTGGAAAACCAGAGCACAGGCACAATTAGAGCATCTAGCAATGGGAAGGAATGGTAAAGAAAGATCAAAGTTGAACAGTAACATGAAAGAGTCAAAGGATGGAAGCTTCTAGAAGCAGCAAATGAGGATTCCCACCAAAGCAAGAAAACAACTTTCCCAGATGACTCTTGGCTTGGGCTTGTTCCCGGCTTATGTGTCACCGAAGCCCAGGTCTGGCTCCCCCTTGGGATCATCTCTTGTTTGTTTTCAGGTCATGTGACATCATTCCCAGGCTCTTGGGAGCTGGAGATGCTCTGGCCTCACCCCTGCCCTGGGAGCCCTCACCTAAGGCTGGGGAAGGAACGCTGGGGAAGTCAGGTGGAAGACAATTTAACTGACCCCCAACGCTGGGCATGAGAGTCAGTGTGGGGCGGATGCAGAAAAGCATTCTGTCCTGAAATCAGGGACTTCTAGAGCAAGTGCCTGATGTAATGACAATACCACCAGTAGTCCCCCAGCTCTCCTATGCCTGTCACTGAGCACACTCTGTGTGCTGGACACTTGTAACTCCCTCCAGTGATGAGCTTGCATAATCACCCACGACCATCTTGTACCATAATGTTATTGTCCCTCCTTTCCAGACAAACAAATGAGCCTTAGTGTGGTAAGTCATACGCTCTAGGACACGGTGCAACTGGGGCTCAAACCCAGGGCTCTGACTCAAGGTCCAGGCTCACCATTCCAACCCCACCGAGAAGTCCAAGGGTGGAGGCATGGCAGGCCATCTGGATCTGGGTACTTCTCTCCATCACTAGCTTGCAGGAGCCTTGCGTTTTACTTCATTACTCGCTTTTCTGGGCCTTTCGAGCTGTGTCTCTTCACATTCCATTTCTCCTCTCCTGGCCCCTCTACTTTCCATCTCTACTCTTCTGGTATTCATCCTTCCGTGACTGGTTTATTTCATTGAGCATCATGTCCTCAAGGTTCACCCACATTGTTGTGTGTGTCCGAATGTTCTTCCTTTTTAAAGCTGTGAATTTCCTTCCTTTTTATTCCACTGTAGGTATAGACCACATTTTGTCAATCCATCCATGTCACTTGGGTTGGGACACTCAAGTTGCTTTTTACCTCTTAGCTGCTGTGAATAAAGGTGGGATGAATATGGGTATGCAGTATAGCCCAGTTTCTCAGGAAGTAACTGAAGGCTGGGGGAGGGGACTTTTTAGACTCCTGTTTTACATTATTCATTCAATCATTCACGTTTTCCATAAACAGACATTCGGGATCTTTATGGCAAAATGCCTAGTGGACACAATGATGCTACGTGAAGAGGTGTGTATCACATAGCTGCTGATGAGTTTCTCCAAGGTCTAGAAGAGTCGAGAGGGCTTCATTAAACATGGCGCCCTTGAGCAGGTTCTAACAGAGGATGGGGTCTGATGAAGCCAGGAAGGGCAAGGCCAGCTCCTTAGGAGGGGCTGGGCAACAGCCTGAGCATAAGCTTACACGAAGGTCCCTTCCAGCACCTTTAGATGCATCCAATCTGACTCCAGAAGGCTGCTAACCATGACAATAAACCCTGAGTTGACGTTTCATGGAACCTTTCGCTCCTGTGTCACCCCTTCCACAGCCAACCAAGTTCATGGTGGGCACCGAGCAGGGCATTGTCATCTCCTGCAACCGCAAGGCCAAAACGTCAGCCGAGAAGATTGTGTGCACCTTCTCAGGCCACCATGGCCCCATCTATGCCCTCCAGAGAAATCCATTCTACCCTAAGAACTTCCTGACTGTGGGCGACTGGACCGCCCGCATCTGGTCAGAAGACAGCCGGGAGTCGTCCATCATGTGGACCAAGTAAGAGGGAGGTTGGGGCTGGAGGGGAATGTAGGAGGGTGGGAGGGACAGAGGGAGCCAGCCCAGGAGTGCCCTGAGCCTCTACGTGTCCACCCAGAACACCCCTCCATGCACTCCTGGGAAGATTTATTTAAAAAAAAGATTTATATACATATATATATGTATATATATATTTATATATGCACACACATACATATTCAACCATTTTGTTGAGGTGTCATTGACACAGAAAAGGCTGTACATCCTTAATGCCTACAGCTCTGTGAGTTTGGGGCTAAGTTACACCTGTGAAACCATCACCACCATCAAAGCCATAAACATGTCCCATCACCTCTCTCCTACCTCCTTGATTGTAATTATTCTTGTGGTGGGGGGGCAGGGGTCACTTTACTTGAGATCTACTCTCTTAGCAAATTTTACTATTTGGTCTAGTATCGTTAGCTAGAGGCACTATGTTGCATGCTAGATCTCCAGAACTGACCTATGTTGCATAAATGAAAGTTTGTACCCTTCGACCATCACCTTCCCGTTTCCCCCCCTCGCCCCCGCCCCAGCCCCCGGCAACCACTGTTCCAGTCTCTGCTGCTGTGAGTTTGACTTTTTTTTTAGATTCCGCATATACGTGAGATCACGCAGGCTTTCTGTGTCTGGCTTACTTCGCTTAGCAGAATGTCCTCCTGGTCCATCCACGTTGTTGCAAATGAAAGGATTTCCTTTTTTAAGGCTGAATAATATTTCGTTGGATATATACCCCATTTGCTTTATTTGCTCATCTGCTGACGGACGTTTAGGTTGTTTCCATATCTTGGCTGTCGTCAATAATGCTGCAGTGCGCATGAGGGTGCAGATATCTCTTTGAGATTCTGGTTTTAGTTCCTCTGGATAAAGACCCAGAAATGGCATGACTGGACCAGATGGTAGTTCTAGTTTTAATTTTTTGAGGATCCTCCTTACTGTTTCCCACAGTGGCTGCACCAGCTTACAATCCCACCAACAGTGCACAATGGCTCGCTTTTCTCCACATCCTCACCAACATTTATTATCTTTTGTCTTTTTAAGAATAGCCGCTCTAGGGGCACCTGGGTGGCTCAGTTGGTTGAGCCTCCTACTTTGGCTCGGGTCATGATCTCAATGGTTCGTGAGTTCGAGCCCCATGTCTGGCTCTCTGCTGTCAGAGCCTGCTTCAGATTCTCTGTCTCCTTCTGTCTTCTTTACCCCCGCTTGCACTCTCTTTCTCTCTCTCAAAAATAAAATAAACATAAAAAAAAAAGAATAGCCACTCTAACAGGTGTGAGAAGCTACTCCTTGGGTTCTTGATTTGCGTTTCCCTGACGCTGAGTGATGTTGAGCACTTTTTCATGTACCTGTTGGTCATTGGTAGGTTTTCTTTGGAGAAACACCTGTTCAAGTCCATTGCCCATTTTTAAAAAAAATTTTAATGCCTATTTATTTTTGAGAGAGTGACAGTGTGAACCAGGGAGGGTCAGAGGGGGAGAGAGGGAGACACAGAATCCAAAACAGGCTCCGGGCTCTGAACTGTCAGCACAGATTTTTAAAAAAAAATTTTTTTTAATTTTTTTAAATGTTTTTTTATTTTTGAGACAGAGAGAGACAGAACATGAACAGGGGAGGGGCAGAGAGAGAGGGAGACACAGAATCCGAAGGAGGCTCCAGGCTCCGAGCCGTCAGCACAGAGCCCAACTCGGGGCTCGAACTCACGAACTGTGAGATCATGACCTGAGCCGAAGTCGGTCGCTTAACCGACTGAGCCACCCAGGCGCCCCTTTAAAAATTTTTTAATCCTTCTTTATTTTTGAGAAAGAGACAGTGTGAGCCAGGGAAGGACAGAGAAAGAGAGGGAGTCGATCACCCATTTTTTAATCGGGTTATTTGTTTTCTCACTATTGAGTTTTTTGGAATGAATTCCTTATATACTTTGTATATCTTGGATACTAACCCTTCATCACACATATGATTTGCAAATATTTTCTCCCATCCCATGGGTTGCTTTTTCTTTTATCTTCTTTTTTTAATTTTTTTGCTTTTTCAGTTTTTGACTTTGCTGTGCAGAAGCTTTTGATGTCAATATACCCCCCTTGTTCATTTCTGCTTTTTCTCTTGTGTTTCTGGCATTATGTCTACAAAATGGCCACCAAAACCAAGGTCAAGGAGCTTTTCCCATAAAATGTCCAGGAATTTTATGTTTCGGGTCTTATGTTTAAGTCTTTCATCCATTTCAAGTTGACTTTCGTATATGGTATAAGGGTCCAATTTCATTCCTCACCATAGAAGGCTTCGAAAATCTAGATCCCCCACCGAGTAGGAAGCATAACGTTCTTCTAATGTCGATATTAGGAACTTCTAATATTCTTCCTCTGGGCATATTCTTGGGGCATATGCTTCCTTGGGCATATTCTTCCTCTGACTCCTTTCCGTGAGTCCCATTGCTGGGAGACTGGGCCCGGATCCAGCAACATGTGCCTGTCCCCTGGAGTTAGCTGTAGAGAAACTCTAGTGGCTCAGCCCCTGAGAAGGACCAGAGCCTTTAAAGGGCATATTATCAGGGCGCCTGGGTGGCTCAGTTGGTTGAGCATCCAACTTCAGCTCAGGTCATGACCTTGTGGTTCGTGAGTTCGAGCCCCGTGTTGGGCTGTGTGCTGACAGCCTGGAGCCTGCTTCTGATTCTGTGTCTCACTCCCCCTCCCCCTCTCTCACTCTCTTTCAAAAGTAAATAAACATTAAAGTTTGTTTTTTTTTTAAATAAAGTGCATACTGCCCACGACTGGTGGGCGAGGCTGGCATGGCTGGAAGTCAGACACAAGGAAGAACTTCCTGCCCAGCGACGAGACCCTAGAGCCCAGGGGGCCTGGATGAGCAGAGCGGTGGCTCAGCAGCCTCTCTGTGCCTCCCGACCACAGTGGGCCTTGACCGCTGGCACCTGGCTCCCCACAGGTACCACATGGCTTACCTAACCGATGGCGCCTGGAGCCCAGTGAGGCCAGCGGTTTTCTTCACCACCAGAATGGACGGGACCCTGGACATCTGGGACTTCGTGTTCAAGCAGTGTGACCCTGCCCTCAGCCTCAAGGTCACGTGTATCCCACTCCCCATGCATCCAGGCCCTTGGGCCCTGGTGGCCCAGCAGAATTACCTGGGGGAAATTGAGAAAGAAAAGAAAAGCGGAAAGCCTGGCCTCTCCTCCCACCAGACCTATTCCTTCGGCAGCCCCGGCATGGGCTCCTGGCAGCTGACCCTTCCAGCCTACGCTCAGGCCACATCGGCATAGCTACACCCGAGCCCCGCTGGCGTGGGCCATGGAAGGGCGTGGCGTTTGGGAAGCTGCAGGATGGACGTGGGCTGGACTGAAGGGGTGAGGCGTGGCGGGTGGGGTCAGGTGTGGTGGAAGGTGAGGCCGGCGGGGGGCAAAGGGTCTTGACGGCCGATCTCAGAGCGTGAACTTCTGAACTTTGTCTTGTGAGTCAGGGGAGTCCCCGAGGGTATTCGAACACGGAGCCGGGCCAAGCGCCCCTCTCCCCAGGGGCCGGGGACTCAAGACAAGCTGCTTGGCTCCTCTCTCCAACCCAGCCGCATCTGCCTGGCCCCTCCGACAGGTGTGCGACGAGGCCCTCTTCTGCCTCCGGGTGCAGGACAACGGATGCTTCATTGCCTGTGGCTCCCAGTTGGGGACGACCACGCTGCTGGAGGTCTCGAATGGGCTGTGCACCCTCCAGAAGAATGAGAAGAACATGGCTTCTTTGGTAAGTGCCCGGCGCCGACCCCGGCCCCGTGGCAGAGCAGGCCAGGCAGAGAGAGAAACGCATGGGCCTTTGGGGAGGTGGCGTGGGGTCCCGAAATGAGCGCATAAGTGGGGTCAGGAGTGTCTGACTCAGCCCTGGCTTCGCCACTCGGGAGCCAAGCCGGCCTGGGCAAGTCCTGTCACCTCCGCAGGCTTCGGCTTTCCCACTGCCCAAGTGGTTTGACTAGGTCAGTTTGTTTGGTCCCAGAGGTCACTTTTGTGGCAGATGAAGGTTTAGCAGATGCCAGAAGAGAAGACGGAGGGAAGGTGGCCACACTGGGGCAGGAGGCTAAGGGGGCTGGGAGGCTGAGAGCCATCATGACGCCCCCCCCCACCCCACCCCAGCACTGTGGGCACACCGTGGCACTGAACCCCCCGGTGCCGAGGCCCTGGGCGAGCCCCCTGGCTCTGCCCAAGGTTGTGGGCCCACCACTGAGCAGGTACTCCCCTGACCCAGGGCCCCACGGTGCACGGCTGTGTGGCTGTTCTGTTCCACGTCTTCTCCATTCTGGGGACCTCTCAGAACTGGGTGACATGGTGGCTCTGCTCCTGCCTCCTGATCTCGATGTCCAGCCCTCCTTTCTTGCCGTTAGCGCTGAGAACAGACCCCTGCCTTGTGCTGTGAGTGAAGCAAGAGAGCTAAACCCGGCCCCGTGCTGGGAGCCGGCCGCCGGCTGC